CTATCTCAAAGCTGCAATGCTCACTCGTATTAGTAAATCGAATGCCCCAGTCTCCTGCTGAAATTGACTGTGCTGCAGATCTTAAACCCACTAATAAATGGCTCATGATTAGGAAGAAGCATTATTTGAGGGTGCTATTGTATGAACCAAACACTTTAGACACAGGCAACTGAAAATACTGACTGCCCAGGTACAGACTATGGATTAGTGAGGTCTGAGGCCTACAGTGGGGCGACAGAATACTTTGGAAAAGGCTAAAACGGGCTTATGGCCCAGCAGGTGGGCCACTCAGGAAAGATTCTGGGTCTCAAAAAAGCTCATGAGATCTTACCTACTTATGATGGCTTACTAGCAGCAATGAAGTTAGAGAAGTGGGCAAGAGGAAGAAAACCAGTATAGGAAGAATACTGCCCCAGTGCTTACTCCATGTTGGTCAGCAGTGCTGGATTGCATCATCCTGGGCAAGTTCTTCTTGCTGTGTATGGAACGGGGGAAGAGAGTTGCTAGCAATCCCTTAGCAGCATCTAGTCTATCCTCTCCCCCACAGGATCGACTCACTGGAGCTGGGAAACTTAATATGCTCTTACCCACTCATATTAGCCTGCTAGCAGCACTGAGCCTGGAGAAGCAACGAAGAGGTAGGATGAGGACACAAAGAAAGTGCTTGAAAGCGGGTGGGGGGAGTATGTGAAAGAGCAAATTAAGTTGTTCGAAGAGTCTCCCATATTTTCCCTGCTTTCTAACTAGATGTGGAAATGTACAAAGAATTGTCCCTTTTTCAGCTGTGCTCCCTGCTTGCAGGAGGAAGTGGATCCACCTTAAAGGCCTTTCTCTTATTGTTTTCCTAATGGGTCTCTTATTATTTTCTTAAAAGAGTCCTTTTCCCGATTTTTATTAATCAGTGTATTCGACGCTCTCCATACCACCTTTCAACTGCCTGTTCCCACCACTAAGTGTATGTAATCTAAACATCTTCATGTCAATATAAACAAAGCACTCAACAGTTTCAAAATAACAGAGTGCATTTAAAACAAGCAAAGTACTGATCACAATTTTAGTCATTTATCATTGTTTTAAAGCCCTTTTCTGCAAAGAGGGCTTTAAATTGCTACTGAAATGAAACTGAGTGAGGACATTTTAAAGGACATGTTACTATTAGAAATGTTGGAAAGTAATCCTGCATATCCCTTTATTGAACACTGGAGTGGCTTAAGAGACTGTTACACAAAAGCAGTATTTCACCATGCTGACATTTTTGAAGGTGGGAGAGGAAATAGTGACAAAGGAAAAACTACTATATTCAAGATGCTCTTCCTTCCTGTGTTACTACACATCATTAAGACTTGAAGTTTGTGCTCCCCTCAGAAAAAAATAACAAATCCAGAAATAGTCTTGGGATGCTTCCAGACAACATCACTTAGCTCACCTAATCTGAAGATGTTGTGATGGTTTTCTGCCCATTTATTTATTTATTGGATGTATATCTTTTTTCTTATAACAAACTCAAAGTGGCTTATATCATTTTCCTCCCCTGCTCTCTAACTTATCTCCACAACAACAGCCCTGTGAGGTAGGTTGGGCTTAGAGTTTGTGACCTGCCCAAAATCACCCAGTTGGTTCCATGCTCTTAACCACTGCACCACACTGGCTCACTTTTTAAAAATGGACTTTCCATGCTAAGAAAAGTGATGGAAGAAGTGGCAGTAAAAGATGAGAGCATTACGAGTGGAAGGCAATAACTTACATATCCTGTGTACCTTGAATGAAGCAAGGTAATGGCCGAAAAAAGCCTTATCTGGAAGCACCCTAAGGGAGGGTGCAATGTGGGTAGCAAAGTAGTTCACAGTGCCTGCTTTATTCCTTGTATCCCACAAGCCGCTGAGTAGCAATCAAGCTGGTCAGGAAGGTGATGCTTAGTCTACATTATTGTACATTTTGTCTAAATAAGAGTGGTCCAGTTTGGCTACCAGGTGTCTCCCAATGAGTGCATCCATAAGAATTGACAAGAAGATACACTTTCAGAGAAAATGAACAACAGTTTAGTGGAGGGGGAAGTAAACCATTTGTGAAAGTACTCCTAGAGCCATCAGTTGCTCAGGATGCAAACTGTGAATCTAGACTCAAAGCACTTTGCTGTATACAGATAAGTGCATCTTTCTTTTAATGGACATGGAAATTACATACAGCATCCATTCACAGGTAATTTTCGCAGGCAGGAAAATAACTGCATTCAATAATGGACCAGATGTTACAGAATTGGTACCATTTATCTTTGTGGTAAGTAACAGCAGCAATTTTCCATGAAACTCAGCTTATTTTACTTCAGACCATATGCCTATGCTAACTTTGGCGTTAATGTGTTCACCTCTTCCTCTTTTCTCTTTGTTTTAATGGTTCTGGTGTTTAATCCAAGTATACTCCTAGGGGAAAATGGTTCTTTTTCTTCTGGATTTAAATGGACACAAACAGGAAATGGCACTTAAATGATATACTGTACATATTGGTTAGTAAACTTTGAAGTAACAGCTATACATTTACCATATAACTTTAAATCTCAGAATAGTGTTCAATTTAGCAAAAAGAAATTGATTGATATACTGGACTTCTATATCAGTGCAAATTAAAATATAAGAAATCTGAAGTGCTGGGATGTGGTGTTCCTATTTTTTAGGTGTTCTAAAGTACATGGAAAGAATGAGGACTCCTTGGGGCATCTTAAGAGTTTTGAAAATTACATTGGATAAAATAGTGTAGCTGAATCAATATGAGCATATAAAGAAATGGGTTCTGGAGATACTAATGAAATCTAAGGGTGCCATCTTAAGCATATTTAGACAGAAGGAAGTTCCCCACGGAGCCTTAAGAGTTACCCTGGATGTCTAATTACTTTACAATGTACAAGGCCTCTGCACTGTAGAATGGGTAATGTAAGCATCTGATGTCATAGCAAAAGAGCATGTGATATATTTGCCTGTCCCCTTTTCCATTGCAGCTTTTTAAAGGAATAATTTTTAAAGATCTTTCCATATAGTAAGTCAAACCATCACAGGAAGGGATGGGGTGTGAGGCAGCACCTATGTAGCTAATGACACAAGGTGGAATGTGGTTGCAGTAGAAGGTGGTAACACACTGGAACACATGGGAAATAAGCAATAGCAACTTATTTCCTCTTGTGTTAGTTGTGAGCTTCTCATTAGCATAATTGCCCTTGCCAGATGCAGGGTGTCATGATGTCCAAACCCTACAACTGACCATGGCTTGTTGAGGTGGCTTCATAGTCACATAGAAGCCACTGAGTTGGAAGTGAGAGGAAGCCACTGAGTTTGGGCAACAGGCACACTTAGCTGCTGCCTTTCATAAAATGCTGGATGCTACCAGAACAGTGTTATAATGAAGTGGCTGACCTCTGATATTAACTCTACCTTTCCAGAATGTCCAGGAAATCAAAGGGAAATTCAAACCTAGATTAGGAATGCTAAATGCCCAATGGGGGAACATACTATCTGACAAGCAGAAAATAAGGGAAAGGTGGAAACAATATATGGAAGATGTATATGGAAGAGATAAAAGTATCTCAGACGCCTTCAAAGAGGAATCCTATGAGGAAGAACCTGCATTGTTAGAAAACTGCTCTGAAGCACTTGGAAGGAATAAATTGCCTAAGAGGGTATCAATAGAACTGTTTCAAGCTGCAAAGACTGAATCGGTCCAAATCCTAACAGAAGTATGCCAAGAAATATGGAAACCAATACAATGGCCCATGGACTGGAAACTTTCAATATGCATTCTAATCCCAAAGGCAAAGGCATCACACAAGGGCATATTTTATCTCCCTGACTGTTCAGTCCATACACAGAACATATCCTAACTAAAACTGGACTAAGAGCAGAGGAAATAGGAGTGAAAATTGGTGGAAGATACATCAAGAATTTAAGATATGTAGGTGATATAATATTACTGGCAAAACCCAGCAATGAATTGAAATTATTCATGAAGAAAGTGAAAGAAGAAATTGGAGATGCAGCTGAACATTAAAAAAAATGATTCCAGAAGAGTTAGGCAACTTTCATGCACTGAGACTGAGGAGAGCAGCAATGAAGGAACTAGACATCATCCAGTAGAAGGATGTTTCACTGGAGGCCAGGCCAGGATAATCCAACCTACTGTATTCCCAGTCACTATGAGCGTGTGTAAAAGGTGGACAGTGAAGAAAGCTGACAGGAAGAAGATTGGTGTTTTGAAACATGCGGCTGGAGCGGAATAGCATGGATCGCAGAAAGATGAATAAGTGGGTGCTAGATCAAATTGCATGTACTTTGTTGTGCTTTGGGCACATAATGAGAAATAAGACTCAGTGGAGAAGGCAGTCGTGCTAGTGAGAGTTGAAGGCAGGGTAATATCAAATATGAGTATATCAGAGCTGAACGCAGGATATTTTGAAGGTGGAGGTGACTCGATGGCTTGTGATACCACAGCATTTTTTAAAATAGGTTTTTCCCCAAAGTCTGAATCTATTTTCTCCCAGTTATATATACATGGTCAGAATTGCTGACCTCTTCCCATACACACTGCTTTGCATGAAGAATCACATTTATTTTATTGTGATTACAGGAAGATGTTTTGTTTAGACAAACTGTTGCATGAGATTCAACAGTTATATTAAAGGGCCTTCTACAGAAAATAACAGAAGTCACCTTCAATTTTCCATCTTTCTATCTTTATTTACTTGTTTGTTATTACATTATATCCCTCCTTTCTTCTGTGATGGAGCTCAGGTTGGCTACATGGGATTCCAAGCACTCACCAGATGCAGACTGGCTCTGTTCCAAAGCAAGGTGTCTGTTTCATATGCCTTAAGACTGTGTTCAAGGACTACAACATTAGTAGGTTCAAAAAGTATCAAAGAGTAATTGCTGCTATTGTTTTTGTTCATTTTCACCTTGGCTGAACATTTTAAGAATGAACAGCTTTTTCATTTTTTTAAATTAGCAACTATACAGCTATCGGAACAAAAGAAAATTTTTAAGTTGTTCAGGAAGATGCAACTTGTGGACTACATAAAGGCATGATCGACCCAAGCACTTTCGGATACACAGCCGGCACAGCTGAGAGAGTCTAGGAGGACCTGGATGAAAAGGGAAAAAACATGCAGCTTGTTTAAATCAAGAACACCAATTCAAATATAGTTAGGCTGCTGCAGTTCTGTACACGGTTACCCAGGAGTAAGCCCTATTCAGTTCAGTGGAACTAACTCCCAAATAGTTGTGCTTAACATTGCTCTCTTACAGTATATATTACTGGGCAAAAATATGGTTCACAATGGGTTAGTCAAGGATAGTTAGCTAGCTAGCTAGACAGACAGATAATAGATATCAGTGGAAATATTTAAGATTTCAGTTGATAATTGAGAACATAAATGCCACTAGAAATTTAGCTCAATAAAGAACCTGTTGAACCAAAATGCTAATATCTATCCTCAACTTTATTTAAACCAAATTGTGAGCTATAGATAAGCCCCACATTTGATCTGGTAGCTTGCCATTTCCAGTTTTGCTCTACACTTCAACAACTTTCTCCAGAAATTTGAAATGTTACATATAGAGGATTTCCCAGAGTTTTCAGATGCAAAGGCAAAGCACATAACATTCTTTTCCCATCCCCTCATTATTAATTTTGATAACTATGATCTGATTGGCTCAAATTCTCTAATACCCAGTTGTGGGCATCCATTTGATAATTTTCCAGAGACTAAGAGGGGAAATCTTTGAAATATTACCTTCCCGAAGCAACAGTGCACGTTCAATGGAACTATTGGGTACTGCAAGATCAAGAGCACATTTGCATTCAGAATTTCTACATGTCAGGCTGGCCCCATAGTCTGTTAGCAAGTTGACAATTTCTGCACTGGATTTTCTAGCAGCTGCATGAAGTGGGGTGTCCAGTCGCTTTCCCAGGTCAACACTAGCTCCTTGAAAAGAATACACGAGAATTGAAACAAACTGGGAACCAAGTCACTGAGGGAACAGAAAATTGATTTAAAAAACAACAACACTGTTTTTAATTATTTTTAAAGAATGCTAATCACATCATACTGAAAGATTTAACTGAGTTAACTAGGCAACAGGTATCAGCGTAGCATGAAAAGAGCCAGTGGAAAATAGTTGTCCATCCCAAATTTAAAATACCGTATTTAAATGCATCATAAAGAACTGTATATTAAGGACTGAAATTATATCAAGCTACAGACCAGAATTCCCTAGTTCAAGTTTTGCATTTGCCATGTGCTCCCTGAGTGGCCTTGGACAAGCCATTTTATCATCTTCTCATTGGTAATGTGACCAACCTTTCCTAGCTGTGGTAAAAATCACACAAGAGCGTGGTTGTGAAGTACTTGGGCATATAGCTACTGAAAACCATCATGATTCTTCTTTTCTTGTTTTCTAGATACATGTCCCCCTCTACCCATGTTAGACGGCAGTTTTCCATGCTGCTGAGCCCAACACTGAAAGCTAAATCTCAACAGGGAAGTTTTCCCCACAAATGTATGTAGTTATATGAATCCAGACTGGGAATTTGTAAATCCATGTAAATTTGTTGGTAAAGATTCTTTGTACTAATTGTGGTTAACAGTGATTTTTTTAGAAGTCATTTAATTTGGTTCGTAAAAATTCTTTTGTATTACATGTTTTTTTTTTTCAATTGCCCTGGATAAGGCATTTTGAGAAGGCTTGGAAGCAATGTATGTTGTTACAGCTGTCTTTTTTATCTTCATTTTGCTTTTACAGCTTTCTTTTAAATCCACTTTGTTGTTGTTTTTGTTGTTGCTGCAGCTAAAGAAAGAAGAAAAAGAAGGCTCTTTCCCCCCAGAGCACAAGTAGATATCCAGAAGACCTGTTTGTACATGCATGAACATCATGATCTTTAAGCAACAGATTGCTTACAGCTGGGCTCACTGAAAGTTTTGTGTCTTAGGTGAGATGGGATCGCTCTGTGGTGCTTCACCTGGGATGGTTTAATTCATACAAACAAGTCTTCTCTGGAGCTCTCAGTCAGCAAGGATTTCTACACACAAGGCATTGATTGTATGCTCATGATGCCATCATCCTCCAGGACCGATCCCATGTTTTGCAGCCACTTTCACAGCCAGTTTGCAGGCAGGAATCATCAGGTATTATTTCCTAATCTCTCAATAAGAACTTCGAGTATTTAACAGTTCCGTTTTTCACAGTATCACTTGTGCTCACACCTCATGAAATGGAATATACAAATAGGCAGAGAAAATGAAACTCTGGGACAGAAACAGGTAAAGGACCTGCTCTTAATCTGGCAAAGGAAGTGGAAGCTGAAGCATCAGTAAAGTGGTGGGTTAAAAACTCATGTAGGAGGATCCATGTATGTGTCAGGTGGTCAGGGGGCTTCTGGTCTCGCAGATGTCACTGTTGGCTTTTTGGAAGCTTATAAATGTTAGGAATACTACAACCCATCCAACCCAGCAAATGAGCCATGTGAAAGGCTCTTTCCAACACATAAGACTACCTAATTCCAAAAGTTTCTTGACACAATCTGTTCTCTGATTCATGCAGGCCACATAAAGTGGTGTTCCGTGTTGTGGATCTTCCTGGTCCATATCCACATCATTAGCTATAAGAATTTCCATACACTCTCTGTGGCCTGTGCAAACACAGAAAAGGGATTAGCTGTTGAAGAGAGAGAGGCTTTTATCCATCACAATAAGACATTCCTAAACATATTAACTCATCTGCACACAGTTCCAGGAGAGAAAGTGGCCCAATGTCACAGTTGTCTACAGAGCAAGGAATGTGCTAAATGAGACACAGCTAGGAACTCCATACAGGGAATTCATGCCAACATGTTTAAGAAGCAGAAAGTTACAGAGTCAGCATTAACTACCATCCCATCTTAGCTTCCTGACAAATAAACACTAGTGGCAAATCTGAGCTAAGTAAATAACTGGTCTGACAGATAATAAGGAACCTCTTGGCTCTTCACATTTTGTAGCCACATTATATGGAATTGAGGTGCAAACTGAGCATGATACGTGAACCTTAACTTCCAGAAAAGGTGAGAGGAACCTACTTAATCCTTTCCCTCCAGCCACTGAAAATCTCACTCACTGCTTTTCTTGCCATAAGGTACTAACATCTTGTTCCTCAGGTGGAAAAGTTGTTGTTGGAGAAATTTTGAGAAAGAAAATGGCTGGAAAGAAATGGATTAAGGAGGTCTTCTTCCACCATTGCTCTGCTTAGACTTGTAGTCTTATTGCTTATTTTGGTGAAAACAAAACAAAAACATATAACGGAAACGACATGTGCAACTATATATCATATTGACTGTTGTCCATTAAAATTCTGGTACCCTTGTAGGTGAAGTCACAGATATTTTATTTATATAAAGTGGTTTCCCCAGTTGAATGCACTCCAGATGCATTATAACTGCAATTCCAAGCATCCTCTGCTAGCATGATGTTGGATGATGGAAGTTGTAGTCCCAATATATCTGGAGGGCATAAGCTTAGAGGAAATTGAAAAAGTTATAGAGCTAGACTTTTTTTTAGACTGGAGGTGGTGACTGACTAGAGACTTATTGGTCAGCTGGAAAGCATCTGAGGGAGGCAGGAACAGAGGAAACCTCATTTCTTGAAGGGCCAAATCACAGGTTACATAATCCACACTTATTAAAAAAGGCATGCTTGGACTGGCTAGTTTAATTCTGATGAAAAACAAGCTTGGGTCCCTGAGCTGAAATATTGCAGTCTGTGTCACGGGGATTCACCAATTTCCTGCTAAAAATATTGTGACCCTTCAGGGGCAAATAACAACCAGGTGTAGTATTTTTCACAGGCATCTGATCAAGAGCATGTCCCAGATCAGGACTCATTAACTGCTGTACAGTCCTAACAGCACATGTGCTCATTGCACTGTTGCCGTCATGTATTCATTGATTTATTTGAGTGCAGGAAATGTCCGTTTTTGTATTTGGGACCTCAGTGCACAAGGAAAGGAGACTTACTCTTCCCTTCCTCACCATTATTATCCTGCGAAAAATCTCCCTGTGCTGTAATCAGCAAAAAAAAAAAAAAGCGGGGGGGACTACTTTTTCCCTGTCACTACTCGTAATTGCAGTACAGAGAGCAGGCAGAGCTTGTCACTTTGAAGAGAGTGAAGGAATGGTTAAGCCTCTTCGTGTGTTATGGTCCCTATTCAAAGTGGACACTCTTGACTGTTCATATAGATTATAATGGAGCCCCTCCTGGTAAAGAAATGCTAACATTCTTATTAATCGCCGATGAACGATTTTTTGGCTGGATGTTGTTGTTATGATGTGCTTTTATATGGAAAATTATATTGGTGGAAGAGCCAACCAAGCAATTGAAAGCCATCGGATGGCAACCAGAAGTAGATGGCTTGGTGATGGCTTGCTACTGCTTCATAAAGTTTATACATAGTGTAGACAACTCCACTAACTACCCATGGCAAAATATGAAAGGACAATTTTGGATAGAAATGTACATAGTGGACGTCTTCACTACTATAAAGCTAAATCAGCATGGTCCTTTAGCTTATGCTAAGGCTGTCTATGAATATTTTGTCATTCATGTTTTTTGTTACATGATAGTGTTTGCAAAAATTACTATATGAAATAAATAAATAAGGAAGGAAGGAAGGAAGGACTTTTTACCAGAGCCATTTATCATGCGCTCATCATTCCCTACTCACAATTCTTCTGATGACTCAGTGGCCCTCAAGTGTGACTTGGTTTTGTTTTGTTTTTTTTAAGAGCTGGAAAAATGTGGCACTTCATTGCAAAAGCAATTGTATATTCTATTCTGATACACCACAGTGCCAACTTAGAGTTTATTGTGCTGCAAAAGCAGGAAAGAAAATACTTGTGTAGTGCTTGGATATCAGTTCTGCAACAAAACTGAAAGCAGATGCAGCGGATTAACACCCAGTTAACAGCTTCATATAGAAAAGCTCTAAGCAATCACACAATGGCAAGTGACCGTCACACATAGTTAAGCCTTAAATGTGGCCAACTCAAGGAAGGCTTTTTTAGAAGCATGCACAATGTTTGTAACATTTTGACCCAAGTCTTCCTGCATCTCCAGGGAAGCTCAGTGCCTCCAGTTTTGGTTGCTGGATTTCCAGCACTCCAGCCCAGAAACAATACCTTGGAAAGGGAGAAGGGTTGAACATGCTGGATCAGATTTTCATTAGACATGCTGAGCTTGGGTCTGGCAAGCTCTGTTGAGAATCCAAGATTCTTATTGGTAGGTCGAACTGTCCATCACCCTAAGATTACCTCTCTTCGCAGCTTCGTGAATTGGTGAAGCATAGTGATTCTCCCATTGTGGCCTGGCCCCATGTTCAAGCAGCATGTTGACACAAGCAGCACTGCCACTACAGCAAGCGTTAAACAGAGGCGTGACCCCATCGACAGTGACTGCATTGACCTACAACATGGAGGTGAAAATGAGGAAACGGAGGCTTTTGTTCTTTGGGAACATCATAAGAAGACAGTCATGATAGAGAAAGTCAAAGGCAGAGAAAGAAGATGGAATATATGGTGCAACATTCCATAAAGGAAGCTACAACCTTGAGATTACAAGAATCAAACAGGGCTGTGAAGGACAGGACATTTGGAGGGCTATCATTCATAAGTTGGAGATGACCTAGAGGCATCTCCATCCTTGAATTGGCTCTAAGTTGGAGATGACCTGATGGCACATACCAATAACAACATGGGGGTGTTGGTGGGAAGAGAAGTGAGGAAAATGATAGGCTCCCCGAGGGATTCAATCTTGAACTCTCAGAAAAGTCTTCATCTTCAAGTCCAGAGTATTAATACTTTTCAGAGTAACTTATGCCAAGTTTGATAGACAATTATCTCAGTTACAATTACAGTGGCATTTTAATTGGGCAAAATGTGGATCTACTCATTGCCATCAAGGGAGAAATCATTTACGAATGAATTAACAAGCAGAAAGTAGCAATAACATCCAACCATTAACTGCAGGATGTATCGAGTGATTTAATGCATTTGTGTCCCATCTTTCCTGCATTATGCAGTCCAGGGCAGCACATGCAGGGCCACCGCATTGACCATCCAGGCACTGACCAAACTCAGCAAAGTGGCTGTGCCCTGTGCCCCCAGACCACCACCCAGAGTTGCGGTTTCTGGGGGCTTCTCTGCATGAAGCATTCAGCCTGCCACGTTGCTGTGCATTCTTCCATTTCCTTTTCAAGAGAAGAGCTGCATCCTTTGCATGTTTTTATTTCTCCCCACTGGGGTTTGTCTTCTGCATTTTCATATATTTCATCAACCAGCCACAAGGTAGCACTGTGGTATCACTGCAGTGTAGTGGCTCTGTAATAATACAGGAGACTTTTATGCTCTAAAAAAGCTATACGAATAGTTTAAGAAGATGGGAGATGCCCTGGAGGAAAAGGATGTTGTGAAAAGGACCTGCAAACCTCTGTGAATAAAGGACCACTTGCCCACAATTAATAAATGCCTTGTGCAGAAAAGCCCAGGTGAATGTCTCCTTTCCATTATGACCTTTCCGTCTCAACTGCAGGTCTTAGTCCTGTACATTTTATATCGATGAGTATAATAGACAAATCATTTGTCTATTAGACTTTTTAGGTGGTTAGTTGTTCTAACATAATCTTTTGGCTGCCATAGAACTACAAAAGCTAAGCTTTCATTTGGAAGCACAAGTTCTGCTGGATCGATGTGCCCTCTTTCTCAGAGTAGCCAACTTCTAGGATGCTTAGGATTTGAGGACAGTGAGTGCTATTAAAGTAGAATTAATGAATATATGAAATTTGTATTCTGCCATTGTATGTTTCTATCATTTGGTTTTACAAGGCTCTATTTAGTTACCATGGCTAATAGTCGTTGTTGGGCCTATTCTCCATGCTTTTGTCTAAACCTTTTCAAAGCCACAGTCACATCCTGTGACAGTGAATTCTCCCCCCCCCCCCCCCCCCTTCCCTGGACCTATGCCACTATACAACAAAACAAGGGGTACTTCTAGGTGTGGCTTTTGTCATGCATCACTCCATTTTGTTTGGGGAACTTTTTGACAGGTTCCAAACAACAATGCCTCACACTTAAAATCCTCCTATGTTTTCCAAGCACTTCTTTCTGTCTTTTCTGGCTGTAGAAATCTGGTTAAAGAAGAAAACAGAAAGAACAGCTCCACAGTGCATCCCTAACTGAGCAAACCCTGTAGAGATTCACTGAATGATCCTGCATTCCAATAGCACAGAAAGCAAAAGGAAAAACTCTGTTCTCTCTTGATGCACCATTTCTATCGTGCCCATTTCCTACACAGATGCACTGCAAAGTTGCAAAGCATTTTAACTCTTACTTGTAAGGAAGATACTCCATCCCCTTCATCATTATACATGTCATTTGCTGCACCCTTTAAAACTCAGTTTTAATCCCTTTTGAGATGAAGGGTCCCAAGCTATAACCTTTATTTTAAATGTGGCCGCACCGTAGATTGATACTGCTACATGCTGGACAAGATGACCAACATGCTCCTATAGTCTTGTCTCTAAACTTTTCCGGAAGCAGAGACTGAGTGCGTCTCTGCACAAGGAACTCACTGTGTGCTTGTGATTCTCCACTCACCATAGTTTGCAGGTGCTCTGGCTATTCTTGGCCTCTCCTGTGCTTTGTTATCTTTCTGTGGCTTTTTTAAAAAGAGAAAGTATGTTGTATGAAACACCTGGTAGTGATGAAATGGAGCATATGGAAAAGCAGAGAAAGATAAAAGCCCATCCCCAGTGTGGAGAGTTGTGAAAGAGCCACTTTTAATCCCGCAAAGAATTGGAAGCAGAAGCCTTGGAAAAGTGACAGGTTAAAAGTCCCATGTAGAGAAGCCCATAGATGTGCTGCCCTGGGCAACACTTTTCAAAGACCTAATTATTTTGTTTTTGTTGGTATTATGTGCGTTGTTAATTGTTGTTATTTGTTGCTTTGTTTATTGATTCTTATAGTTCTTGTAAGCTATTCTGGGATGATTTTTGTATAGGACAGGGTAAAAATATTTTAAATAATTAAATAATCTATAAAGGATAACTGGTGATCTGTTGCAATGAGAACTGTGCTGACCAGGAAGGTATAGGAGAAGGATGGAGACGATTCATCTTTACTTCCCCAACTACATAAGGGGAAAAGATGAGAGGTCTGGGTGCATAGAGCTCTTTCAGCAAAGGAACTGTGTGCTCCCAGTAGCCAGCCCCAGTCAGCAGCTCTTGCAACCAGCTGGAGTTTCCAAACACTCTTCAGAGGCATAGAGCATGGGACAGTGTTCCAGATAGGGTGTAATTAAGGCATGTATCTCTAGGAATGGGCACAGCTGGCACACTAGCAAATGTCATCATGGCCACTACCAAAACATGGGCACCAGTTGAGTCTAGAAATAGACCCAAGCTACAGATCTCTGTCTTCAGGAGAGGTGTAATTCCACCCAACACAGACTGAATGCCTGTTCCCACAGCTAAAGCCCCTGCAACTTCTCACTGCTTGGAACTGGTTGGATGTATGTAACAATGTCGACACTGTTGACATCATACAACAATGTATGATGTCATTTTCAGTTAATGTACAAATAAAGTTGGGATACATTTGGCTATATATATTTACTATTAAGTTGTGAGGATGGATTTGCCTAGTGCTACATAATGGACAGAATTGTCTTGCTAGATGCCTTTAGAGACAACTTTTCTCATCAGGAAAGGTGATACATGTTGTAGTACTCACACGAGCACCATATTCCAGTAACACTTTTGCACAAGCAACATGGCCACCCAGGCATGCCTCGTGAAGAGCAGAAACACGGTCTATTGTGACAATATTCACATTGAATCCCTAGAATTCAGAACAAAGTTATGGAAAATACCAGAATAATAGACAACAAAATGTATTGCCATCTGTTTTAATCTTAGCTTAAATAAAACTTCTCTTGAAGCTCAACAAAACTTCTGGTGAAAACAGCATTCTCTTAGAGGAAACATAGTTTACATGATCCCACAGCTTATATAGTCCTCTATTTGATAGACAGGGTTTATTATATGGGCCAATTACTATCCTTTGGCTTTACCTACCACACAGGCCTATTGTGATAATAAATTTGGAAGGAGGGGAAACCATGAACACCACTCTTAATTCATTGAAGCATGACATTAAAATGTAATATGCAAAAAACAATCTACACAGACTCTAAGAATCTGGAGGTACGTTAGAATAGATCTTGCTGCATAGTATGGACCCAAAATGATCTCTGATGACCACACTAGGTGTGCTGGGAATTTAAGTTGACTGGCTAGGCAGAGTCTGAGTGGGAAAGTGTCATGCTAGTTAGGGGGCTCACGTTTCTACTGGGGAGAACATTTTGCAAGGAGTTACTGTGTATTTAGAGCATATGGCATAACTGGCTTTATTGGCACAGAACTGGCCAGAACAGGAGCAAGAATGGTAGAAAACTGAAACAAAATGTGTGCTGGATAAAAAAAGTAGATATCGGTATTATAATATTACGAACATCCTGTATTTCCAAAGGATTGATTGTACTTCTTATATGTTACTATGTTCAGCTGGAGTCTACCAGCTATTTTTTCTTGTATTTTTCTACTTAAGAAAACACCTTTGTCATAATATTAATAAAACAGCTCTAGAAATGTGAGGAGGCTGTTTTTTACTTCAAAATGTAGTTGGAATTATATACTAACCTCAAACAACAAAATAGCTGCTTTATTCATGATTTAGTCATGTCATCATAAGGTTAGAAAGGAACAAGTTAATGTTATGTTTCAATCCTATATATACTTACCTGGGCATAAGTCTTATTGAACTCAACAGAGCTTATTTCTGAGTAGACATGTCTAGGATTGAAGTATTAATTAACTTAATTAAGGAAAAATGCTGCATATCAAAGCAGAAGATCCTTCCCAACATCACGCAGAAGTTCATCAGGAGAAAGGAAAGGATAAAATGCAGAAACAATGCTTCTGAGAAATCAGGTAAGGTTTGATGATTATGTTACCAATGTATTGGTAAACATATAAAGAAAAGCATGTATGTTTTCTCAGTATGAGCATAGATAAATAGTCAGAAATTCGGGTATCTGACCACTGAATACTTTGTCATCTGATTTGGAGTTTGTGGTCTTCATTTTATTTTTTTTAACTCAAGTGCTAATTAACAAGTAATTCACAAAGTTTATGTATTAGTCCCTTAACTATCTGCACAGATCCAACACAGCAGGTTTTGGTGACCGGTGTTAAATGTGCAACGCTATGCTGGGTTTTCACTTACTGCGTTTACTATCCTGGGTGGAGGCATCAAGATAGCCATCAGTTGCATGCACTGGCCTTAAATTTACTTCCTCTGATGCAATGTTTGCAAAAATGCTCAGTTTGTTTTGTATTTGGGCACCTAGTATTGTATGTATTTGTGCAGTCTGCACTGCAGTCTCTTGACCCATGCATCAAAAGTGCTTAATTGAGCTTTGATTCTCTTACCTGTGCCATCAAGGTTTTCAAAGATAGAAGTCGGCCTTGAAATGCAGCTTCATGAAGAGGAGATCTATCTGCCCATGAGCCTAAGAAAAGTTAAGCAGAAAATTAAGTCCAAACATGTAGGATCCCTTATGCCAATCTTTGGTATCATCAAGTGTGTGTTTGTCTACTTTCACCAGAGCAGTTTTCATTAAAGAATGGTGTGAGGGCTGGGCATGAAAGTGCAAAGGAGGATGTTATGTGGCACAAATGTATAGGGGAGAAGTTGCCAAAAGGAGTCCTTTCTGAAGTGTGTGATTTGTGATTCCATTCTCAGGCCCTGTTCACAGGCTCACACAGCTTCCTATTCACAATGTCAAATTTCTCCCCTTTAAAGGGGAAATAACAATATCCCATGTCACAAGATAGCTGGGGGGGGGGGGGTAGATTCCCAGAAAGGCTATCAAAGGGTATTATAAAAACATTTAATTTTATTAATAAATAATGACATTTATTTATTAATAAGTAAATAGATAGATCTCTAGACAGATGCATGCATGCACGATAAATGGATGGATACCTGATAGAAATTTATAAATGTCCTTAAATCTACTCATAGTTATTTATGCCTATCCTGGTTTTTTATTTTGCAAGCTGTGGAGTTCTTTTAACTATTTGTATTGTGCTGTATTGTGTTCTTTTAACTGTTTGTAACCTTCCCAATGAATGTACATTATTGGGTGGATAAAATAAATTACATGAAATATGGAGACCGTGAATTCATGTTATAGTTCCAGTCAGTGACAGAGAGCCGCTTTGTGCAAGTGCCACCTAATGAGGCCTCCCATAAAAGAAACCTCCCAGGAACCCCTGGCCCTGTTCACAGGTAGCAACAGCCCTCCGCTGGTGCCTTGCGCAAGCAGTGGTGCTGCGTGCCATGTGCCCTCCTCTTCTGAGTCACTGCACCACCTTTCATAGATTGTAGAGTGTAACATGCAAACTCAGACCACAAGGTTAGCAAACCCCATGACAAACCATGGGTTTACTGCCCAGGCTGACATGCTGTACAGCCTGAGAAGGAGCCGCTCATGGGTTTTGTGGGAAAACCAAAAAGGTGGGCCCTTTTGTGATATCTCAGTGAGCTTCCAAAGGCCGCTACCTCAACCCCTCCAGTGAAAGCCAGCTCTGCTGTGGGGGGCCCCCAGTATCTGGTACCCAAAGATTCCACTGAAGAGACTTGCAAGTGGCTGGACAAACGCTGTCAAGAAGAGAGCTAAAGCAGGAGTGAGAGGACTGGGAGAAACAAACCCTGTAGGAAAGCGTACAATGAACCTGGCCCCCGTGAGGGTGTGTTTCTGTTCCTTTACCTGCTGCCTCGAATCAGTAAGAAAGAGCAGAAAAGCATTAATGACTTCTGTGTAATCATGTACATGCTCACCCTACTGAACACAGTGTTCTTCTCAGCAAACATAAATAGGATTACACTGCAAATCTATGTAATTTTAATCAACCCATGGAATAGTTGGAGCCAAACCACAGTTAAATTAAGCAAATTGCCACAACAATTTAGTGTTACCAGCATCACCTTTTGCTTGATTCAACTGCATTTTGCATCTGTCTACTCAAATCTCTTCATGCTCTTTAGCCATTAAGGTAAAAAAGCAAATATTTGCTGTAACCTTGCAAGCAAGTAACCATTAACCTACAGATTAGTGTGGCGAATGGTAGTTTAAAATAAATATAACTTTTTAAAAAGTTCCATACTATAAGTCACTGTACAAACTCACAGTGTTACTGAGTGCTACTTTTATGCTACATACAGTTGCTTAATTTATTTGCATAAGCTCAAGTAGATTTCCATGCTAACTAGATAAACATACCTCCTTGGAACATATGACAAATGTAATTCCCATAAGGCGTATCACTTAAGTTTCCAGATACTGAAGGCATCCGAGAAACACTTAACTTTCCAGATATTGAAGGCATCCAAGAAATAATTTTTCTTTTAAGTTTAAAGGTAAATCTAGCTGCTCTGATTTCTTCTTTAGACAGCAAGCATTACTTTAATGCTTAGCAGTAACAGTGTGGCTGTAATCTAATCCAGGGCAGAGATGAAATGGCGTTTTGAAAGATGTTTTGGAAGATGATACTTGGGCGGATTTGCAAGAAGCAATGCTGCAGAGAAAAAGACTGTAGATAACTGCCAAACTTTTGAATGCTACTTTTTTAATAGACACGCTGATGGAATAAAAGTCTTCAGTGAGACAAACCAGTGTGTTGGAGCATAAGCACTGCATAGCCTAAAAGCACTGAAGAGAGAGCACAACTGCACTACCATCTGTGCATGCAGAGAGTTTAATATCATTCACAACCATTATTTTTTCTGATCAAAATTTACTGACTCTAGTAGCTCAATAATGCTTCTATATACCATGCAAGAAAGTAACTTCATCCTGAGAAATATTATAATTTAAGCATTTACTTTTTAAGGATGCAACCCATGCATGTTTAAACAAAATAATAATAATAATGACTGTCTGGGAAATGCTTGCAGTTGTGGGGCTGTACTATGCATGCATTCAGCTGCAGCCACAGTATTGCATGTTTCAATGTGGAAATAGTTACCCTGTTAAAGTGCATTTTTATGACTATTTTATCCCCATATTTACATTTTACTTTCCACATCTTAAAATGACTACAGTGCTCAACTGCTTATGCTTACAAGACTAATGCAAAGTCTGAAGAAAGAAGATTTTAATAAATTTTATAAAGGTGCAAACTATGCATATTTAGACTGAAAAGTTAGGGCTACACTTAGGATTACAATCGTAGGTTGTTGTGTTCTCAGTAAGTTTCTTTTCATAGACAACTTCACCATATTTATTTATTTAAAACATTTGTATGCCAGCCAGTTGTGCCACAGAACCTCATTCTAACTATCCAGGGCTGGGTGGATCTAGAAGGCCATCAACTTCACCCCTTGGGCACAAGGTCTAAGCTTAGCCTCTTGTGACTCCACAGTGACAGTAAAAGCTGTAAACTTGCTGTAGTATCAGAACATATAATCATTCCAAGCAAAGTGACCCAAGCTACTTAGGAAATTTATTTAAGTAAGGACTGAACCTTTTTCAAGTGACTTCTTTCAGAAAATGCATATTATAAATTATGGACATTGTTTCATTCTTATACAAAAGCACACAAGTCTGTAATAAAGAATAGAAATATTCTAAATAGTGTTGTTGCAGGAACCTTCCTAACAGAAGACCAAGAAATAATTCCAAACAAAAATCAGATTTCCTTATGTTAAGATACATTTTTCCTTCCCATCTATCTGTCTTTTATCTATACTCTAATTCACACTCCAAGTTGCAAAATCATGCATATAGATAGAATTATTGTTTTACCTGGGGCTATGCCATAGATTTCTTCTGCTATCCTGGCAGCCTCTTTCCTATTCCCTTTCACAATATAGAAATGAGTCAACAAAGCTAAAGAGATTTTGATTAAGAGTTTAAAACAAAACAAAGCAAAGATTGCAAAATAAATATTATTGAAAGCTTGGAATATCGTAGTGACCTCCATTTTGGGTTGCTCACAAGTCTGTTAAATTACATTTCACTGTTATTGGTATCATATAACATCTATTTTGAACACTGTAGCAGTTGATGCTTCTCAGTTACCATAAATACACCCAGCTTTTTTTTTTTTTTTTTTGCAGGCAAACTATTGATATCAAATAACAATGCTTAGGATTAAAGGTGCTTATCCCCCCTCCCCCTTGGCTAATTATATAACACTGTTCCCTCTAACATAGGCAGAAACAATATAAAAGTAATGCACTTGAATGGGTAAAGTTATCTAGAAGAAAACGTATAACCCTCAGCCCCACGAAAGTCAAATTGTACAAGGAGCTAAAAAATATTATTGCATACACCATGAATTTTTTCACTAACTATGTTTATTCATAGTCTGAAGATTGTTTTACATTGTTAGGATAAAGAATACTATCTTGCATTTGTTTTACAAATTCAGGATTTCCCACTTGAAGTTAAAAAAATGAATAGTTTTCATACACCAAATAGCACTGGTGAAAAGGAAGAAACCCTACCAGTATGATTCATTGCTGTAAGCTTTCTCCCAGAGAAGAAAACCTTATTTTAAATTTTCAGGCATACAGGTGTTAAAAAGAGATGCAGTATTAGTCCTCAGTTCTTGCCTGAATGTTTCTTCCAAAAAGTAAAGTGATTCTATCTATAAGGGTTCCATAAAGGGAGCATTTATCGTGTGCTTGCGATTGCTCACGCATGATAGTTTCTAGTTACCTCACACCATGTTTCCATCTTCCATGTTTTCCAAGGGGTTTCCTGTTTCTGTGTCTTACTTTCTTTGAGTGAGGAATGCGGACTATTAAGAGGATATCCCATTAAACCATGCTACGCAAACACATGCATTCCCATGCTTGTGCTAAACCACAGCACCACCCTGGTTAGGGTGATTTCTCAGATGCTGGTGCTGCTTTTGAGAGGCAGGGCTAGTGGCTACAGCACTTATTTTGCAAAAGCGGAGCCAGGGATAGACAACCAGGTATAGATCAATGGTTGTGTAACCATTTCAGCCAGTGAAAAGCCACTCATAGAAAGAGGGAAGCCAGGTACTTTTGAACATTCTCGCCTTATGTGAGGATAATGAGTCTCTATTCACCTGAAACAGCTGATGGATAATCTCAGAAACTTCCTTCGCCAGCTTTTCTTTTCCCTCATGTTTGCAATGTTTCCTTTCCTTTTCTTTGCCTTTTCATTTTTTGAATTGGTTCTGCTGCTGATGTCTTATGACAGCTTTCCCTAACTGCCATATTTGTTGAATTACAACTACCATCATCCCTAGTCATTGGCCGTGCTGGCTAGATTTGATGGGAGCTGTAGCCCAAAGCATCTGGGGGGATCCAGGTTGGGCAAGGCTGTCATGTAATTTTAGAGATGGAAAGATTCAGGGGGGAAACCTGGATGCAATGGTGGATAAGTTCAATATACGGGCCAAATGGTTTGGAATAAAAGTTCTTTTATGGCACTTCCACATTGCAAAATTTTCAAATGTGTGTTCAAAGCAGGGAGGGAGCAGAAAACAAAACTACAGTTAAGTGTGGCTTTGTCCACCTTGTGGTTGATTTGGGAATAGGTTGCATAACATGGTTTGTCCAGGAACCTGTGATCCAGATCTTCTTCTTGCTTTCTGTGAGTATGTCCCATCAGTCCAGGGTCTAGATAACAACTATGTACGATTTATACATGGTCATAGCCTTTTCTAATTTATAGATTTCCTTCCTTGTGCTACCCAAAGATCAAACAATCATGTTAAATGGTGGGTATGGAGGACAAACTGAAAAATAGTTAAATATCCTGTCCCCACCTTCGGTTTCTCCTCCTTTTGCCCACTGCAAGAAAATAATCTTCTTAAACAAACAAAAAGATGATGTTAGTGCTGAATCCACAGGCAGTGGGGTTGTGGGAAAGAGGAGAGGTTGAAGCATTAAACAGAGCTTGCTGCTATCAGATCAGAACTAGAAGTGATGAACAGGAGTCCAAAGCGTATGGACTCTAAACAAGCACAGGAATCCAGGAACTTCTAGGACAAGTTCTCTCTCCAGGCTAATATTTTGAAGAGACTGCTGTTAATAAATGCAATAATTCCATGATGGCACTAGGTGGAGCTACAAGAATATATTTTCCTTTATTAACTTTTTTGGGTGCCTGTTTAAAGGAAAGGATTATTGGCAATTTACAGTAGTATAGACCCATATGGACATTAGTGAAATGGCCAGTTAATTGTCCCTAAGACTAAGAAGAGACCATCTTACATGAAAATACAGTACAAGTCGCTGTAAAGCACACCTTATTACCATCCTTGCATAAAAGCCGTTTTCCTGATTGTATTCCCCTCACCATTTCGTTCATCCTCAGAAAATCTTGTGGAGAAATATAACCCATTGGCTAAAGGTCAAGCCACTTTATGAAAAAAGCTTGTCTGTCTGTCTGTCTTTCTATAGCAGCCGCCCAATTATACCATTGAACATACAAAGTACAAGTATCAGGATTATGCACTACATAAGCCACATCATCTCATATTCCAGATCAGCCCAGATCTCCATTTTCCTGGGTAGCGAAGAGAAGCACTAGGAGTATTTGTGACCATGTGTCGGAGGGATGAACCAGGCTGATGCCAGCCTACCTCTGCCTTGGCTACCTGTGCTCAGGTGGCCTCCAATCTGAGAGGAGAGTGGCTTAAAATCCTTTGCCTTTCTCCCCAGTGCCCTGTTCCCTTCCTCTACCTCTAAAGGATGCTGGGCAGTATTGGGACCGATCATCTCTGTCCCACACCTTGACAGGTAACTGCAGGTATGAGAACAGCTTTGTCCTCTGTGTGCTTCTCTGGATATCATTAGCAGGGTGAGGAAACCCCTGCTTTGTCCCAGCATCGGGGCCATGCACCCCCCTAATTCTACATCACAACCGAATCCCAAAGCCATTAGTGAGGCAACTGATGTGACCCATCTCATGCTGATGTGTGGCCGGTTCTTGGCAATGGCCAGACTACCCATAAAATGTGTTTAGGAGGAATTAGTCCCTAATAGATTGTTCTAAGCGCACATCCTGGCATCACTGTAGAGTTTAAGGCTACAAGCACCAGATCTCACCAATTATTCCACATTAATTAGTCCCAAGTGATTACTGCTTCTCATCTTGTAACTTTTCAGTAACTAATGCAGGGTACAATCCCACTTCAACTGTGCAATGCTTACGTCAGGTCACTCAGTACAAAAGTATGATCGTTGAAGCACCCTGCTGTACTCACAATTAGGATGCTTATGAAATGCTTTGGGAGGGTGATGAGCAATGGAGTGAATGGGCTGTGTTTGCTTTCCTCAGCTATCCAAAAGGCTTACCAGCAATCTACAGGTGGATCCCACCTGTGAACAATCTTGCAGTCAGAACACAACTAAAGTGTGACCATTTTGGAATCTGAGCAATGAGCCATGAGCAAACGGATGAGAGGACAAACAATTGAGTGAGTGGAGTGTGCGGTTATGCTGGATGAGGGCCACCCTGGACTGTACCGAGGGCGACCTAATCCAGCATTCCCTGTACTGAGAGGCCAACCACCTGCCCATGGGAAACCCACAAGCAGGGAACACGTGCAACAGCACCCTCCATCCCATGTTCCCCAGCAAGTGGCATACATGAGCATACTGACTCAGCTACCGGAGATAGCATATAATTATCAGGGCTAGTAGCCATCAGTACTTCTATCCCAGTGACTTTTTCCAATCCCCTTTACAAGCCCTCCAAACTGGTGGCCATCTTATGATAGCAAATGCCTCCCCTTACTTGCCTCTCTTCTAAGCTGATATACCACCTGTACCCCAGAGTTGCTCTAATCCACTCCCTCCCCCCAGAACCAGCACCCTGATTCCCCTGCCGCTGGTGCTGTCCCCCAGTTTGCTCTCTTCTCCCTGCTGCTACAGCAAGGACAGGGCAACTTGTTTCAGAATTGCTAGTAGCATGCGCATGTGCGCGCACACACACACACCAGCCCCCTGAGTCAGCATCACATGCAGCCCTTTGGGCTAAACAGAGTAATCCTTTTTTAGATGGATTAAATGAGTATGAAGATGTGATCCCGTTTAAATAGAATGTTCCATATCACTGTCTGGTATGTGCCAGATTCCTTACATTTGACATTCATCAGCCTGAAATAATTCATCCTTCCATGAATTCAAGCCATCATTTCACCAGTCTATAAGCACAACCCTAAGCCTGCTTAACAGGAAAAAGTCCTACAAGTCCAAACATGCATGGCTGGCTGAGGAATAGACAATCCATTCAGATACACTCGGAAGTTCATCAGGCTTCCCAGTGAGGCCCGGAGTCCAGCTGCCACTCTCTCTCCTTCACCTGAACCTTACTTGGGAGTACCACCTGGGAGACCTATCTGTGGGGCAGAACTTTGGATGCCCAGGATCTTGGGAAAAGGAGCTTTCCAGAGCACCTGAATACTCCATGGGGACAAAACACGACTTTCTGTGCCTGAAAAAAATCTTTGTAGTGTTGCGTAGCATAAGGAACCCAACAAAGTAAGGATGCCTGATGTCTGTAATCGATACTCATCCTCTCTGGAAATGATTTTGCCAAAACGTCTTGTTGAGCTGTGTTTGCCTGGAAGCTTGCTTATTTTCCAAGTCTGACAACCACTTTTGTAATTGGTTAAAGCTCTACAAGCTGCAGACATGTGTAAACAAAGCTAGGTCATTATGAACTTCGGAGCTCTCTGACCAAGCACAACTTTAAAAGTAAAGCCAACTGCTACTGCTAAAAACACAGAGTAGATGTTAACTAGATAATGAATAATTTACTGCTACATTTTTATTCCACTTTTCAGACAATTATTTTTTCACCAACTGACTCACATAAAGACAGTGGGGAGCAAGAAGAAGGAAAGAGAGAGAAAGAGAGTAGCCCTTCTTAAAGTTGAATATTTGGGCTATGTAAGCCTTTCCTTTAAAAGGCTAAACTAGAATTTATTTTTTAAAATAGTAGATTTTCTATTTTAAACTGAAAGGTTACCCCCTTAAGGTGGTGTTTGAAGATAATGCAGTTATCACATAGGGTAAATAAAGAGTATACGTAATTACAAATCCTTTGTTGCATCATGTTGAATCTCCCAGTTATTCCTCATCGGCTACAAATCAGATCTGTGTCACCTGAATTCAAGACAAATTTCATTCTGCAGTTACAAGAAACTGCTGCTACAAGAAACTGACAAGTAAAATATATGACAGGGTATCATTTTAGCTCCCCTCTGTCTTGACTAATGTACAAAGTAGATTATATTTTCTAATGAGGGCAGATGAACATACAGTAAAATTACCTTCCTGGAGTTAATGAAGATTAATAGTTCACAATGAGATTTGTGTCCATTAATCTGAATCCTTGTAGGAATCACAGTACAGCTCAGGTTGATTGCCAAGCCTTTCTTTTCCTCATTTCATTTAAACAAATACAATAACACATCCATATAAACTGAGCTAAGACTGACTGAGGACCAAACAGTGTATGATCTTAAACATTCCAGTTCAAGTAACATGTATCTTCTAGTGCTCTCTGTAGGGAACAGCCCCAGCTCAATGGCAGAACACACACTTTGCATGAAGAAAGTTGCACAATCTTACTCAGGCTAGGAAAAGATTATGCCCGAAACTGTGAAGAGTTGCTCCAGGTCAGTACGGATTACCTTGCCCCAACCTGGTGCCTTCCAGATGTGTTGGCCTTCAATTACATCTGACTGGGGGATGCTGGGAGTTGTAGCCCAATAGATTTGGAGAGCACCACCTTGGGGAAGGCTGGTGTAGATAATACAGAGGTAGGTGCACAAATGCCGTGACTCAGTATAAGGCAGCATCCAATGTACACCCCTCCGTAAAAGAAGCCCATCCCTACAAGTGAAACCAAGGGGCATTGCACTGTTGCTTACGTAGCTGGCTCCAGTGAGAGCTCTACCTGCTTTAAGTGATGTATCTGGAAGCACAGAGAATTTCATCACTGCCAAGAGTCATCAGACAACAGATAAATCATTCAAGATCTTCTGAAAAAAAAATGAAATAGCTCTTGTTTATGATATGGAAATGAATGTGTATGGAAGAGGTGAATTATGAACCAATTTCCAGGGCACTAAAAATGAGTGGTGGTGAAACTCTGGGCCTTCCTAGCTTTTTTCGCTCTAATAGACCCAGTCAGCATGGCCAGTAGGGAGGGAAAATGAAAGTCATAGTCCAGCATTATCTGGAGGCCCACAGGTTCCCCAGCCTTGCTACAGAGCCAGGTGGAAGAAGCACCTGCCTACAGGAAGCATTTGCAACAGGCTCTACTCTCTGGGGTCTCGGAGAAAGACCTTTTCAGATTGACCTGGAGCTGCCAGGAACTTAGGACCTTTTGCATGCAGAGCTTGCGCCCTGCCATTAAGCTACAGCTTCACTCTGTGGGGGAGCTAATGCTTGAAAAACATGGTGCCAGCTCAGTGCCAGAGCCTCAAAAGGTTGCGCCAGAGATGTTCTTCTTTGTGGGGCCTACCTTATCTGTACCATGCAGTGTTTGGACAAAGGAACAAAACTGTCTCCATTTTGCTGCACTAAAGGCAGAAAGTCAGTGCCAGTATAATGCAGGCATGAGGACATGGAAGTTCCCATAAGCGTGAGCCAGAAACCAGAATCACTTAAGGCAGATCCATCAAACAGAAATGTCTTTAAATGCAAAATGTATGGAATGGAATGAGAAAATCTGTAACTTGACAGAAGTTTAGTTTAAAAAACCCATAAATATTAAAAAGAGAAGGTTTTTAATCTCAGCAGAAGGTAATATTTCAGTTCTGGATTAATGTTTTTACAGACTTCACCTCTTGGGATGGTAATGTGTATTACTTCACTTACTCCAGATTAATTCAGTAAGACAGCACTGCTGTGCTTGGGAGCCCTCCCGCTCATTCTGATGAGTGGAGCATTGGATCTCTGCCCATATCCTGTGCTCACAACGCCACTGATTGGATATATAATCCAGATTTTCCCTTCCTGTGTAGAGGAGGAGAGTACGGACATATGTGTGGAGACAAGACACTGTCTCATCATTATTATTGTGATTGTGATTATGATCACATGGCATTTATATCCTGCCTTTGCCCCTCTTACATAGAACTCAGGATGGCTTACAGTTCCCCTTTCCTCCATTTTTATCAGCAAAACAACCACCTTGTGAGGTGTGTTAGGCAGAGTCTGTGACTGGCCCAAAGGGAGCTTCGTGGGTGAGGGGAGACTAGAACCCAGACCACCTGAGTCCCGGTCCTGCACAGCAGCAAGGAGAGGTGGCTTGCTGATCCCTCCTGCCTGTATGAATTGATTGTTCTTTGTTCACATAACCTCTCAGTGCGTGAGCAAGGTCAAAGGCAGAAGCCTATTTCTCACAGATACTTTGTGTGAACAGTCCCCAAGAGGATGAAAATCTCATTGATGCTAATGAAGTGAGGTCCATGCTTCGACACAGCCCACAGAAGTTGTAGAAATTTTTGAACACTGGAATCCTCTGAGCACAGGGCCTGTTCCCTTCATCTTATCCTTTAGGACATGCTTCTTTCTCTAAAAAGAAACAAGAAGTGCCAGATAAGAAGATTCACGCTGGAACCGCATCGATATGGTATGGTAGAAGCTTGTGCAAACCCCTGATGGGGGTTCCTTTTCCTGACAAAACTGGCATTTGAAATTACCAATGGCAATACATATTTATTAGTAACTGATGCTTTTATTGTCCTATATACATTTTAAATATGTTACATCGGACAGTAGTTCTACTATAAATCCAAAAATAAAACAAAGATGGATGATAGATCAACTCATTCAGTGTTAAATATACTGGGGAACAGGACATTGGAAGGTCTGAAAATATTGCTTGAAAGAAATATGCTCAATAATATCTGTGGGTTGAGAGCATAGAATATGTTTCTGCATTTCCAAGCTGCAGAGCAATGATTGTCCCCATTTCAACCATGCCAGTTCCTTTCCATACAATCACAGCGGTGGATTTGTCTTTTTCACATCCTTTTTCAGAAGTTGTTGTTGTTGTAGCAGACATCTGAGACAAGGTGGCAATGGCCTAGCAGATCCACTTGTCCTATTAAAGAATGGAGACTGGTTTTATATTAATACCCGTCACATACGTCTGTGATTATTATAGATTAATAGCCAGTGAGAGAGCTACTTTGCAAAGCAGTGTGGTGATTGATACAGGAGGTAAAAGCTTGATTAAGGGGCTTCTCTACTTTGGAAACCATAAGGGCCTCTTCCCCCTCTCAGACAGCGGCAGTGCCTTGAACACATTGGTCGAGCAGTCGGGCGTATTCTACCCTGGAATGGGCATTTGTCTTCACAGCTGTTTAAAGACAAGAAAAAATGAGAGATTGTAATATGGTGAGCAGGCGATATTTGACGTTTGTATTTCTATCCCGCCCTTGCTGGAAAGGCAGGGCCATGGGAGAGGAAATAGCAACTTGGAGGTACACCTGCTTTGCATGACTACAGGTTTGATCCTTGGCATCTCCAGGGCAGCCTAGGGAGGAATCCTGCCTGAAATAGGGTGAGGTGCTGCCGGTCAGTGTCAACACTACAGAGCTACATGAACCAAGGGTCTGACTCAGTGTAAATCATCTTTCGACAACTAACAAGCCCTCAAAGTAGAACAACACATGGACACCATTAAAATCCTAATTCTACACTTACAGAACAGAATACAACAAAGGTATTGCTACAATACTTTATGAATTAGAAGAATGAAACGACTTTACAGATTTTTATCATTTAGAGGGAAACATACCCAAGAGTCATTATTCAGTTTTACAAGGTGGATTTTCATGCTTGTTTTGACTCACGTGGAGAGCTTCATGCGCATCCTGGTTTTGTGGCTGGCTCGGTAAGTGTGTGGACCTTGGGGTGCCAAACAGTGGTACTGCAAGGCCAAGTTAGGCAGGTTTCATAAACCTAGGATTAGCGGCCAGTTGTGCTGCAAACAGTGCATAGGTCCAGGATACCCAGATCCCCACATTTGAATGCTGCCGTTCATGAAGGCTGGGAGGGGCAGCTCTCTTCCACTGCCCTTGCTGGAAAGGGTGTGCCTGACTGAGGATGGGCAGGCCCTGCCCTGTAGCCGAATGGAGGCAACTGAGCTCCTTCCTTAGGGAGGGTCTATTAGCCCTTCTCTTTAGACCTTCTTCCATTTGGCTAAGATGGTGGCCTTTGTGCAGGCATTTGGCCAATGAATGCTGGTATTGGACTAACCCTACCCCCCACTTTTAAGATCCCCCCCATTGTGAATATTGTAGCTGGTTTATTAAACTTAAAAGAAACATGAATTGGAACATACTGCTTATATTCTGTGGGTTCGGCCCAGACTGAGTTAGTCACAGTTAGATCTTATTGAATTCAGTGGGAGAAATTATTAATAACGTTCACATTTTCTTCAATTGGAACTAACTGCAACCAACTTCGAGCTTTTTTATACAAGGCAATGATCACTATTCACTATTCACTATTGCTTATGAGGACTTTAGTTCTTCTGTTTTAAATTGCACTTTCAGTGTAATTGTAGTTGTTATTTTAAAGAGCAAGGTGGGTGTGGTATTACTCAATGAAGGTGAAAAAACACATTATTTCCACTTGTGTAGTTGTGCAGTTCACAGTACCAGAGTGCCACCTGGCAATTATGCAGAGAAAAAAGCAAAAGAAGAAGCACTCTTTGTGAACTGCTGAGATCTCATTTCAACAAAGCTTATATACAGTGACTGAACAAAGCTATGTAGAACAGACCCATGACTCTAGGGGCAAATCTAGCCCTTGTTTCATTCATCTCCCCACTAGAAAGCTCAGTGCTCCTGTCTCCTAGGTTTTTCCTGGCTAACTTGCTAGAATAGCCTTCACCCTGACCACTGTTTTGCTAGTCTTTTGCTTTCTTTTTTCTTTCTATGCATTATTTTATGTATGCAAATCAAGTTACTTTCCTGCATGTTCAAGGGTGCTTGCTCTTTAAAAAATACCTGATCCAATCAACTCACAATATAAAATCATAAACAGGAAACACAAAGGGATGCACTAGGACAGGGATGGGCAGACTCCAGTTGAATGGGATAATATACGTTGGTTTTCCCTAGAGCCCTGAAATCCACCAACCACAGGATATACAATCGGAAACAAAGGATTCTGAACCTAAAGATTTGTTCAGAATACCAAACCTGAATGGCCCTCATGCTTCCACCACACTCCTGACTACTCCAAGCTGTCAGAAAGCCCAGCTGATCTATTGCAAATCATCCAGGTACCTACCAGTGGATCAGATTTGTCTTCTGCTCACTCCTGCAGAAACCATATTGGTTAAATAATATAATTCTACCAAGTCCCTTGTTGGGTTAAAAGTCCATGTTGATTCCTCAGGGAGATGCTAGAGACTGCTCCTCTTCACCCCTCCCTTCATTTAGCGTGCTGCAGTTTAGTGTGGGGAGGAATCATCATGCACACAAACATGGACCAAGCAGGCCGTTTTGAGCCCTGGTGCAACCAGATGCTTACCGGCATGTTTCCGCATTAAATGTCCTACGTTTTTGGAAACAGCTCTCCTGGTTCTCTGTACACAAGTAACAACTGCAGTTCTCTTTGTTCTGGAATAAATTGCCAGTGCAGTTCCATTTACAGACACACTCGCAGTTTTCTTCGTCAAAGTCCATATTTGGTGCACACATCGCAAGCTCAGCAAGTGGAGGGAGTTCTGGCACAGGAGACACATATTCTGCAGGAGGGAGAGAGTAAGATAAGCAAGATTTATAAGGGCTCCCCCTCTCCACCACCCCCTGAAAGCCTCACCTAAAATGTTGCTGCAGGACAAAGAAATAAGGGTCTAGTGCTATCCGAGCTGTTCTTTCTATCCTGGTTAATTGCAGTCATAATGATCAGGTGTTGCTTAGATTAGGAAAAACAGTAGTCTAAGCCACTGCTAGAGATGGCTGTCACTCCTTTGCACTGAAGATTTACATGGTTTGGCTGTTTTTATTGAAATGATTTTATTCAGATGGTATTGAGCAGTATAGCAGTGTAAGGAATAAATGAATGCCATATCACAAAGGCTGGGTTTGTTTGGTTGTTTGTTTATTACAGTTACATCCCACCTTTTCTTACACAGAATTTAAAGCATAATTCTCCTCCTGCTCTCAGTCTTAACCCCACAACAATGTTTTAATAAAATAAATAAATAAATAAACAACAACCCTGTGAGGTAGCTTGGGCCAAGAGTCTGTGGCTGGCCCAAAGTCGCCCAGTCGGCTATTTTGCTGAGCAGGGGTTAGAATGGATTGCCTGGGTCCCAGTCCCATGCATTTAACCACTACTTCACATTGATTCAGACAACATGATTGGCCGCACTAAAGGGCTGAGTAAGGACCAGGCATGAGTTATTATCAAAACACGAGCTGCTGATGAAATATGAATGATTGATTTATCTGGACCCAGTCATGCTAATATAACATGGTCAACTGATCACAAACAAATCATGAGGAGAACTCATGGTTTGTTTGTTTGTGAACCATGGTTGCTTATCAATAACAAACCATGGATCTGATGCTGCTAGATTAAGAATGATTAAAAATAGTTATTACAACAATAAAACGCTACAAAATTTGAAAAGATGAGAAGCATTTAGTCTTTGGGTAGTTGTCACAGCATGAAGGAACCAGTTTGTTGCCCAAATACAGAACAGTCTTCATCTAGCCTCAGGGTGCTTCCATATTATACGTTTATATCACCATCAACCTGCCTTATCCAGGGGACTGTAAAGGGAACCCAGAAGCATCTTCTACTTGTAACCCTCCCATGTCTTTCACTGCTTCTTCCATCCTTTTTCTTAACACAGAAAATCTATTAATCTAGACGAGAAATGGACTTGTTCCATGGTGCCTTGCAATTGCTATGCTAGGAGGCCTCCATCTGGAAGCATTCTCCACCTGAACAAGCAAGAGCACCACAACACCTTCCTGCCCATGTTTCCCAACAACTGACATTGATGGGCACATGGGCTTTGACCCTGGAGGCAGCATACAGCCATCAGAACTGGTAGCCAATGATGGTTCTATTCTCTGTGGAGGGTTCCAAATGGAGGGTTCCTAGCAATGAAAAGACATGGTAAGCTACTTTTGTCTTCCCCTCCTCAATAGATCCTTTGTGGCAAGAAAAAGGGAAGGCAGTGGGGAAACACAGGAATGTTACAAATTTATTTATTATTTATTTATTTAGTAAACTACTATGCCGCCCCATTCGCCAAAGCCTCAGGGCAGTTTACAATGATAAATAAATACATATAATCATATAAAAACAATATAATTGGAAACGCCCTGGCCAAAGATATAAAATCAATAAATAAGTTAACAATTAAAATGCCATTTAAATAATGGCATTTTGGCAAATGGCAGACAAGGGCTTCTGGGGCCCATGTAAACTTCTGTGGATAGGGCAGAACAAGCACAGGCACAGACTGTCTAAAAGGCTAACCTTCTGAGATGTGTGAAAGGCAGCCTTAGGCTGCGGTTCTTCATGCACTTACTTGGGAGTAAGCCCCACTCACCTCGATGGGGCTTACTTCCAAAGAGAATGCACAGAATTGCACCGCAAGAACAACAGCAAGAATCACTGCAAGTTGTGTCTGAGAGAGTTTTAGCATTTTATGGGATGGAGCTGTTTAATGTAGAACACACCTTTCCTTCTGCCAGGATGATCTTTGCTTACAACACATCCACAGATGCTGCTGTTCCAGACCCAGCCATCATCACACAGCTTGTTTATATGGGGACAACTAGAAGAAACCAAAATGCAAAATTTTATAAAAACACGTTCAAAGAGCTAGTCAAATATCTATGCTAACATGGATCTCAAGAGTCATCCTGTATTGAGGCTAAATTAAGCCAATCTTTCCCAGCCCGGGGAAGCTGACTGGACAATGATGGAGGGTGTAGTCCAACACATTTAGAGAACAACATCTGCAGAAGGTTGAATTAAACAGACACATGGGTCCTTGTGTAGGCTGGTTCAGGAAGTTTACAGAGAAACAGCTGTATGCAGACATGACTTAGGAACATGCTTAACTTTAAAACATTTGACAAGAAGTCCCTTATCATCAAAGGAGCAATTTGGGGAATTACATTTGCTAAGTCATCAAACAGGGGCCTCAACCTACGTTCCAGCTGCCTGCTGTTTCTTAATTTGTCACAGCTGCCTCTGTCCATTTTGCTATTTTTTAAATACTTTGTAAATACTAAACATGCCATGCTAATTAAAAACTGCTGTTAGAAGAGAAACTATGTGACATGTTTTTACATTGTTTTGCCAAGTAGACGTCAGACCTTTCTTTATAGCTCCAAAAAAACACCTATGTGCCCATATATTAAGGAGCTGTTATTTTTTAAAGCAAATTTACCATCCCAGAAAAGGCTATGGTTAAGTATGGGATTATTTAAAAAATACAGAATATGAATGTACAGAGAGGGAAAGAGAGATTGACAACTTTACCGGTCCTCATCTGGATACTGGATAGATCTTCGGATGACAGTATATGATTGGCGTTGAACATTTGTTAAACACTTACAGTCTGTGTGGTTTGCAATTTTGACCTGAATTGGATCTGGCACATTCATTAAAGGTAGTGAAATTTCAAAGAGCTAAAAAATTGAAACATCAGATCATCATCAATATTTAGTCCCCACTCCATCTTTTCTTGCTTGGTGAAGCAAAACAAAGAACTGCTTTTCATTTTAAGAATTTTGTATTATGAATGTATTTTTTATAATTCACTCATAAAGACATTTGATGCACATGCACCCAAGAATTATGAAAGGCCATAAGTCCCCTGCATAGGTCCACCACACGTCTTCAACCATTCTTATTATTTACATTTCTATACTTCCCCCACCAGCTGAAGCTCTCTGGGCAGTTCCACTAATGCCTCTACTTCATATTTGACAGATGTCACTCCTTCAAATATGAATGTATGTGAATTAAGCACACCTGCCTCATAAAACAGTGAGAAGCCCATAGATAACTTTCGTGGCTTTGAACAAGTCTTTCTCGCCCAGTCTAAATTCCCTAACTATAATTTGGAAGATGGTAACGAGCAGTCATACAGGCCTCTTGTGTTGGCAAGCCATGAAGAAAAGACAACGGGCATTTCAAATTTAAACTGCAATGATAAATAATCATGACTCTCAATATCAGAACCTGTCCTTCAGCATCACAGACTTCTTGATATTCAGGCTGTCCTCTAGTTTGGGGAAGGGCCATAGCTTAGTTAGAAGGTGCATGTGTTTATGCAAAACATCACACATACATCCCTGGTTTTTCCAGGTGGGGCTGAGAAAGACTGCTGCCAAGAATTGCAGGAAAGCTGCTGCCGATCTGTATACACGGAAAGAGCCAAACTGAACAATGGGCTGACTGAATAAGGCGGCTTCCCAGGTGCACTTACTTCAAAGTAATCTGTAAGTCCACTGAATTAAGTGGAACTTACTTCTGAGTCAACATGCATGGGATCAGATTGTTAGTTTTCTCTTGGCCAAGCTGCTGTAACTGCAGAAGAGAGGAAAAGGTCTCAGTACCATTTTGGAAACGTACGACGTGCTTGTGTTCACGCAGCTCAGGCTCTCTTCGTTGCAGCAGCCTCCACACCTGTACACATTCACGCAAGGTGGCTTGAAGAATGTCTTGGTGCTGGAACCCAGCTCTTTGGCAACCTCTACACAGGTCTCCCTTGGCACACACTGTGTCCTTTGCCACTCCTCATCTATAACTGGGAGATACAGAGGCATTCTTAACACAGCGACACTCATAGCTCACCAGTTCATGGATCAACCATCCAAGACTCATCATCTGCTGCCGTGAGAGGGACAGCAATGCTTGGAAAGGATGTCATGCTGACCATCATCGTTGTGCATTGCTATACACAAAAAAAAGGGGGGGATCTGCAACAAGGCCTTGCCGTACGACCTACTTCTAGCCAGCTAGCTTCTTCTGCTCCAAGGCACTCCAGTCCAGTCTCCCCCTGGTACTTCTCATCCTGCTCCAATAGTTATTCAGCAGCATGTGGTCTATTCTGTCCTTAGTGGACTATTTTGGGGATTCCCTACATCCTGCCCTGCCCAACCTTTGGCCACATAAGGATCTATATGCGCATTGATGTCAGAAAGAGCAATACAAAAAGCAAAGGGAGCTTGTGTACTGCCCAAAACAGGAATGCCCAAATTTTTATCAATGTAATACTGTTTTTATATAAATGATCAGTTCTCCCTCCTCCAAATTACAAGTTTTCAAGATTCCCAGATATTTTCATCAGACAAAATGTTACAAAAAGCAGCTGGCGATGGCAGAGAGGAGGGAAAATCTCTGCTGTAATGGTAAAGTGGGTTCAGACAGCACAAGAACCCACAATCAGGAGTTGGGCATGGATTGGGTGTGGGTTGCCATTGAACGATGGGTTGCTGTGGAAATGTGGATTAGTGCATGGTTGGAATCTAGATGAGACTAAAAAAGGATGAACAATTCACAACCCAAAAACCAACCATGGATTTTCTACATGTGTTGTTTCTGATTAACAAGCTGTGGCTTGTTACTGTGGTTGGGTTCAGACAACATGATAACCTGTAGCTCCAAAACAGCCCACATGCAATCCATTCTCAATCCTTCAGCATGGGTTATTTTCAATACAAGAGCACACACTGTAGCAGAAACCATTCAGTTTGGATCTATGGCCCAAGGCCCCCATGATATATATCCATCAGATGATCAGACATATCAGGTCTGTTGCCTCCTCTTCCTCCCACAGCTATCCTTGGAGACGTATTCCCCTGCTCCTCGCTGCAAGTTTATTCAGGCCCACCATGGCGCAAAAGTATTTTCATGCTCAGTTTTTATAACTGTTCTCTAGAGTTGGGTTTACATGAGGCTACAGGATTTCTTTGCATCAGGGGCACAGACAATGTTTCAGTCTATGTCACTACTGAAATGAAACTTTGTTGCCCCATCTGAAATCCCCTTAAAAATGGGGTTCTTTTGCTGCAACAGCCCGGGGGTTTTGCTCCTGTCTGCCCATATCTTCTGTTTTCCTCTTGTTCTTGAGATGCTCTCATGCCAAGAATGTGCAAAACTAGCAGGGGTCCTCTTTTCAGCACTAGGGCCACTTTGACAGAGGTGTTCATCTGTTAAAGCTGAAACCTCTGTTTTTAAAGTGGGAGATCTTAGTGCTTAGGAATATAGTCTTTCCCAGGAAAAGACGGACCTTAAATATCCATTACTTCATGGCAAATAGTAATAATAATATGATGATGATACCAAGAACTTCTGCTTTAAAATCTGAGGTTTTCATAATGACATCTTAAAAGCAACTGCTGTCACAGGATCAGTTACAGAGGGTAATTCAAAAGGGAGCAAATCTACATCCAAGAGCAGGGATGCTGCTAATTCTTTTTAGCAGCAGTAGACATTATTTTTACTTGACTGGCCTCTGCATCGCCCTCTCTTGATAAGAAGAGGCCTCCAGGCAGCTTCCTCTGGGCATTGTCCAAGATAATGAGGTGATTTGTATCAGAATGCATCTAATACAAATAGGAATTTAACTGCTTTAGCTCTTCAGCTTGTTTGTCCTGGGCTGCTGGCAAGTTTCTTTCTTTTCACATGCTGCTGTTGCCATATTCCACTGATAGTGACTCCCACATATTGTTGTGTGTTTACATCTCTTCCTTTTTTGCTGAATGGAAAAATGTCTATTTAAAACAACCCTTGGCTGGTATTAAGTGAACAAAAGCCAGCTCTGACCACAAAATCCTAAACATTACAGTTTCCTCTTAGCTGTTTTTCCTTTCTTTTTTCCTTTGTGCAGATCTTTTTCCACACAAAAAAGCCACTACTCATATTACAGGCAACAATTATAAGAAAGGAATGGACAAACTACCTATCAAAATAGCTTGGAAGAATGGTTTTTACACCTGCCTTCATTTTGAACACCAACCCACTTTCAAAAACCTGAAATATCATTCTTTTTCAGCATGTTACTTAGCTTGTCCTTAGGGGCCTTTCCAGATGAAAAGGACATTTTCTCAGCAACGACAAGTGCAGTTTGTTGCCTGGAAGTACTAGCTTGGGGAAAAGCAGTGTGAATGTATAAGCAGTGTAGTATAAGTCATATAAGCAGTGTGTATTTGTTCCAGAAAGCACACCAGTCACTCTTATGGGGTGCTTTAGGGACAATGGCTATGCTGCATAAGCACCTATTGGACAGTGTCTGCATCATCATTGTTACAGGAGACATAATGGCTTTCTGCACCATTTGGAACTCTTAAATACCTTTATTTTAAGCTAAAGATAGATAGAACAGGCCGATCAGCAAGACACAAACTCAGCAAGCATGTATGTTTTTTAGATATGGAAATGGTGTGCAGACATTAGCTCATGGCTTCCACAATAAGAAGAGGAATGGTCTGCTGGATGCTGTCAAGCAGCCTTCCCCAGCCTTGGATTTCAGGACCAGGCATTCCTCACCATTGGCTATGCTGAATGGGGCCAAGGATTGTTGAGGTTCACCTTTGGATGATGCCAGGTGGGGAAGGCTGCATACAGAAGCCAGCAAGGTTATGCCCCAAAACTCTGCACCTACTTTTGAGCATTTCAGTATCATAGGAAGCAGCTGCAAATCTTGTGGAGCGATGTGAGGCAGATCTGGAATCCAAGGAGGCTAGACTCTTGAGTTTTAGGCGGCACTTCCACAGCTTCCACTCCTCAGAATGCGTAATCTGAAGTAGCTCTTCCAGGCTGGCGGCTTTCCTGATCTGTTGCTCCGACCACTCCAGTGAGAATGGGGTTCTCTGCAGGAATGGGGGCAAAGCACAAAGGGAGAAATCAGAATGACAATCCCATGTCTGTGGGGGAAGAGAACCCAGAATTTCTGTTGAATCTGCTCCTGGGATGTTGATTTACCTGCTTGTTTGGTATTAAATCAAGTTTTATTGGCCCCAAACCCAAGGAGACAATAGGCTTTTACTTAGGCAAGAGATCACATGAAATTTCATGTGTGTTAACCCTCCCTCAGTCCTCTAAGTTTCCTACAGCTCAGAAATTGGAGAGTGTGACTCCATGTAAACTTTGAGGAAACAGAACGAACAGTATAGAGTTAACTCAGCAAGCATGTATGTTTTTTAGATATGGAAGTCACATACTCCCTTTTTAAAAACAATGATCACACCAAAGCTCAAATGTTCCACTGTTACCACTCAATGGTTTACTTAGTGAAATGGAACAGAATTTTGCTCATTTGCATCCTGATCAGCCAAAGCACGTGTTACCTTAAATGTGTCTTCTATACCAGTATAAGCAAACAGCGCTCTATGCAAACAAGTATCTTGTATCACTGAATATTCAGCCACCTCACCCTCACTAGCTTCAACCCAGTCTCCAAAATGTTCAGTCACACAATTTATGCAGCAATTATGCACCCACACATGAGTGAATGTAAGCTCTTTTGTGTACCATTCCTGCCCTAGGAAAACAGAGTGCACGGGAGGCTGCACACTTCTGAGTGTGCGTTCATGGCCGGCTTTGTGCAGGCAGCATGTGGATGCTGGAACTTGGCAGTGAGGCCGGAGTTCCTCCTCGTTCCCCCACAGCTTTGTTGCTAGCCAAATTAATCCCTAACATTTCCTGCAACGAGCACACAGTGTATGGGATGACAGATATAGATGTGGCAATACTGTGTGAATTAGAGTGACTAGTTAAACCTCACTAAAAAAGGTAATAAGGAAGACATGAATTTGCATACCCCAGTGCCCAAGTATAAGTGCAAATGTAAACATGAATACTCAAATTAATTTCACATAGAAAAAGGCAGTGTATTCCCTATCCAAAGCACCCTAGATAAATTATTCTATTAATTTCCATCTTACCCCAGATCCACACTAACAGTTTGAAGGAAATTTTAAGGCAACTGTCATATCAGTCATTTATTACTACTACTGCTGCTGCTACTATATTGCATTGATATTCCACCTTTCTTCCTCTTTCAAGGAACCCAAGGTGGCTTACAAGGTTCCTGACCTCTATTTATTTTATTTTATTTTATTTTATTTTATTTTATTTTATTTTCACAACAGTGGCCCTGCGAGGTAGGTGAGGCTGAGAGTCTGTTACTGTCCCAAAGTCACCCAGTGAGCTCCATCGTGAAATGGGACTAGAACCCAGATCTCCTGGGTCCCAGTCCAGCATTCTGAAGCACCCTTAAGTCCCATATGATACAACATTTGCTTATGGCCTATTACTGGCAGTAAGCTTGACCTGGAGAAAAGTAATATTCCTGCTAGTAAGTTTCGTTCCCTAGGCAGGTCAAAGTCATGGAGAACAAGTTGGGCAATTTTATAGAACTGTACAAGTAGAAACAAGTTTTCACGTAAATATTAACAGATAGGAAGAGGTAGATTTGAAAAAGAAGCCGATCAGAATACAGTAAGCAAGCACATTGCATATCATGTTCAGGTATCAAACCACAAAAGTAAAGAGAAGAAACTGGGTGGGCTTTCTCCCTGCGAGAAGACATCTTTGCTAACAATGATCTGTACTGGTAGCATATATGCTCTTGGTCAGCATATACCAAGATCTCTATTTGTATCTTTAACAGATTTCAATATACTTGCTCATTGTTAATGGATACTTGAAATATAATTGATGAGCATTATAACTGCACTGAGAGTAACACCACAGGACCCATCTCAGCATCAGGAGAACCTCATTTCTCTCGACCCTCATATAGACAGGAAGTAGGAGTCTGTCAAAATAGCAGGTCTGCTTAATTAGGTCTATTATCCACAAATCCTTTCTCTTACAAGTTATTCCATTAATGCACCCATTATCCCAATCAATGTCCCATGCAAATGTTCCAGATCTTGCTCCAAAATATATTTATCTTCAATTAACTTGTCCCATCAACCCATTAGCACATAGCTAGTCCACTTAAATTCAAAATAAGGAAAATGCATTGACTTCTTCAGGTGGGTGGAGATTGTTTCTATGAGTTAAGGCAGCCGGGACTGGTTTGCCTTTGTTTCCCATTTGTTTAAATGAGTTTCTGTTTCTCAATTTAGTGAAATTGTTGTTTTCAGTGGCACCTACTAAGGATTTTTTATTTATTTTTTTCGATTTATATCCTGCCTTTTTCCTACAAAGCGCTCAAGGCAGCTTACATCATTCTCCTCCTCCATCTTATCCCCACAACAACCCTGTGAGGTAGGTTGGGCTGAGAGTCTGTGACTGGCCCAAAGTCACCCAGTTGGCTCCATGACTGAGCAGGGACTAGAACCCAGATCGTCTGAGTCCCAGTCCCAAGCTCTTAACCACTGCACCACACTGGCTGTCAAGGATGTTGGAGAAATCCACAAGAAATACAAATACATTTGGAATTCTATAAGTCCAGCCTGCAGATTCCTCAGTGAATCAGTTTCCCCCCGCAAATCACATGAATTCCATGAGTTTGCAAATCATTTTTTACAAAATTGGGGGTTGGGGTATTTGCACAAATGCATATTTGTAGAACAAAATGTGTCTGCAAACATTCGATTCCATCAATGCATGGACAGCAGAATGAAAGACACCTTACTACCTGTGAAACATAGGACAGATTTAACAAAGTCCCTAAATCTATCACAAATCTTAACACACCCCAAGAGGGTTTAAAGAAGTAATGGCTGTCCTGCATATTTGTAAGGACGGCCATTTTTTTCCATTCCATGTCCCTGCAAAGAAACTAGAATCAATCTTGTTTCACTCCCCATCTGAGGATTTTCACTGCTCAGCGGCAGCGAGGCAATGGCGGTGGCATTTGATGGCATGCGTAAGCGTTCAAAACAAAACCGAAGACAGACATGCCATACTGTTGAGATCCTGTATCTTCAGGACCAGTCCTACAGAAAGACAGCAGCATCCCGTCTTGAAAGACTGGGTAATCTAGGAAGTCCTTGCCTAAAAGAAACTCTTGTGCAAATTCTGGAGCTACCTAGAGGAAAGTTTGGCAAGGACAGAGCATAGCATCAGTTTTCAGCCCCCAGATTCAGGTCCGAGGTGTGTAGCTGTAGCAGAATGTCTTTTGGCTGGGGGTAAGCTTCTCCATGTCCCAGAAGAACTGCCCATTCCTTATGTTTAGGGCCTAATATATGGGAACTTGGGCCCAAGAGTCCTGAGTCAGAGGAGGCGTGAGCTTCTTGGTCCTCTCGTTTTCAGAAGCCTTGGTTGTGAAACTCCTCCCAGTATCCATCTTTCAGCCAACCAGTAAGCAGGTAAAGAGAAGGAAGAACAGAAGAGCAACATGCACTACCAATAAGTCGTAAGGACCCAAACTAAAACTATGCAAAACATTAACAAGAAAAAAAAAATCAACACAACAAAACAAAAACAAAAAGTGCTGGAGACTGGAATACCCCAACAACTCTCTTTTGCTGTTGCTTGTGCAGTGCTCGGTGCCCTATCAATAATTCCTTTCACAGTCCCCCCCCCCCGCCCTTCCTCTTTCATCTGCTTTGGCAGTCTTCCTCCTTCACTAAGCAAGTGCAACCAATCAGGGACCACACGACAATGTTACAGGGTACCCAAACAATTGGATTTGGTTCTGTGCTGACATTGCCGAGCACAAATCCACATTGCTGACACTGGGATGGGGTGGGGAGCAGGCGCATTGTCTGTGCCAGCCCAGCACTGCAGCACAGCTGGGCAAAGTGTACAGACACCACCACACAGAACAGGCGGTGAAGAGCGCTAGCCTCAGCCACAGAGAAAGTCACCGCCGTGTGTCACTGCTCCATGCTGGGTCTATCATGTGAGGGATAACACTTAGGATTGGCCCAGGAGCCCCAGCAATGGAGGCATATTCCCTCCCCCACCCCATACGCACAACATGCAAAGCCTTCCACACCCACTGAAGTCCCCCTCCTGAAAAACTGCGGAAAGGGGCGTGTTTTTCTCAGGAGGCTAAAGCATTCAGGAAGGGCAACTGAATTCTCCCCGGAGCCAACATACCATTCTGAACAGGATGGGTACATCCAGTTCATCCACCCACAGCAGACTTTCTCTTGTAGAGCCAAGATGCAGCATGCTTATATATGCACACAGAACTTTTCTTTTATTAAAAGAATAGTAAAGCTTCTCTGTGATGCTTATTAATGCAGATAATGTATTTTGGCAGAGTGCAGGCACACTGGTCTCCCTCCTCTACACACACACACACACACACACACACACAGAGAGAGAGAGAGAGAGAGAGAGAGAGATTGGTAGCTGCACTGAGTACAAACTGTGGTGAATTGTTGCTGTTGTTAGGTTCCATTAAAATCAGTAGTGTGTGAGGCTGCCTACCACTGTTCTGGTTTATGGCCCACATAAAACATCTGCATCCATGCTGAATTCAGCACTGAGAGAGAGCGAAAGTGCTTTAAAATAGACTCTTCTGATAGTGGAATCATGAGAGACTGAAGGACTTACAGCAGCAATAGAACACATGAATAGTTGACCATAGACCTGTATCAAAAGTAAGTGTTTTTACAACATGACATACTAGTAATACCAAGAGCACAGCTGAAGTAATCATGTTGACATGGACCCCCTGCACTTTAGCTGATAAAACTGAGACTCATGCAGAGCCCGAGGCCAGGAGCATCTTTTCAGTAAATGTCCTCAGGTGGGATCAACTGAAAATCCAAGCTACTTAGTGAATCATTCTCTCTCTGACTATAAACTGGCTTACATTCCTCTTCATGGCCGTTGCAATAACATCTCACTAGTCTTATACTAAAGGGCTGCCTCGAATGCCCCTCCTTCCTTGCAGTTTTCT